TGGACCCTGAGCCATCAACACAGCCCCTTCAATATCATGTCAACAGAGAATGTAACTCTTAGTTTTTGGGTATTTTTTCTGATTTTCTGCCCATTTTTCAGCTGGTTTCTATATTTAGATATCAACCCTGAACCCTCAACACAGCCTCTCCAACTTCACATGGCACCACTGTGCAACATTATTTTCCACTTATTTTTTCCTAATTTCCTAATAATTGTGCTCCATTGTACAGGTGTTTTTTCTGTTTAAGGTAAAAGGTTCCCGCGGTGTTGAAAGGTGAATGAATGAATGAAAAATTTGCCTAAGTCCTCAGTTGATAAAGAATGAGTCTTACTCGTAAACTCGTAAGGACTCATAATTTTCCAGCTGTTTTCTCTGAGTTGTTTTTTTTTCTGTCTATATTTAGATATGGACCCTGAACACAGCCCCGACAACAGCAAATATCATTCCGATTTTTCTTCCCTTTTTTGGCATATTTTGTAATCATGTTATACAATCTATCTGGCTTTGTTCTATTTTTAGAGATGGACCCTGAACCCTGAACACAGCCCATTCATGATCATGGCAATGGTGAATACCATGCTTATTTTTCACTTATTTTGCACTGCTTCTCAACCTATCTGTTTCCATTTTTCAGACAGCTTTCTATATTTGGATATGGACCCTGAACCCTGAACACAGCCTCTCCAACTTACTAAGCAATATTCTGATTTTCTACACATTTTTGGACAATTTATTTGCCATTTTTCCTGATTTTATGGCTGCTTCTCTCCTTAAGAGAAAAGGTTCCCGCGGTGATGAAAGGTAAATCAATGAATGAATCAATGAAAAATTTGTCTAAGTCCTCAGTTGATAAAGAATGAGTCTTACTCGTAAACTCGTAAGGACTCATAATTAAGACTAACTTGAAGAGAAAGTCTGCTGATGATCCAGAAATTGAGGAGCCAAAAAAGAAAAAAGTTTTGGCCCTACACCCGAAGTTCCTATTGGACTTGTTTGGGACTCTGTTGATTACAGCTGTTCATATGACTCACTTTTTACAATTTTATGTGAGATCTGGATTTACAATCCAAGAAACTGGACAACAGCATTTTATACATTTAGTAATCAGGGCAAACTGTTAGCAGATGGATACAAAAAAGTTATTAGAAGTGTAGATACTCTAGAAAATATTCGAAATGAAGTTCGTAGATCACTCAAACATGATAACCCAGTATTATTTCCAGATGGAGCTACTGGAACTGACATTCGTGATCTACTTTACTATTTCTTCACATCAGATCATAGTGTCTCTTTGGGTTACAGAAGGTCATCATGCATTGGATGCAACAACAATCATGATATGGATAATCCTCCAGAAAGAGTTATGTCAGTTTTAGATGGAACTTACAAATCAATCAATGATTGGTTACAGCATTGGCTAGAGGAACCTAGTATATGTGACTGTGGCTCTCCCACAATTATCAAAAGGATATATGATCAGCCCCCTTCACTACTTGCATTCAGTTTAAATACTTCAAGAGTAGCAATAAGCAAGTCTATTCGTATCAAGGGAATAAATGGAAGATCTACAATTCTACCATTAAGAGGTATTATTTATTCTGGTGGCTTTCATTTCACTGCTTATGTGATCACTCCTGGAAAAGAGGTGTGGTATCATGATGGTATGACAACAAGAAGAAATTGCATCAAAAAGGGCCATCTTAATGAGTTCACAGAGGATGCACTCAAATCTTGCAGAGAAAAAAATTCAAATGGAGCACTTTTTGAAAGACAAGCAGTCACAGTAATTTATTCAAAGAAATAATTGTTGAAATATATTATTTATTATATGATGAATTAAAAATATTTTTTGGTCAAGTTACCTTCTTAAAATTATATGAGCTAGCCAGATAAAAATAAAATATTACAAAATATATTAAAACAATAAGGACATAACAGATTCAAAAAAATACTATATATATATTAGAAAATATTAGAAATTATATTAAAACAATAAGGACATAATGGATTCAAAAAAATACTATATATATATTAGAAAATGTTTGAATTTTTAAAGCTATATAAAGTAATGTAAACATTGATAATTCACATTGACTGCTTAAATAAAATTGGCTAATAAAAGGAGAGGACTCGTATCTGCCGTGCTTGCAACGGCCTCTGACACAAGTTCTAACGTTGGCTTATCTGGACCTTTGGTAGACTGGCTGTAAAGAACTGCACGGCTCGGATGCATGCATTTTCCAAGGAACTTTATGACACAATGGGTGTCCGGGTCTTTATCTTAGGATGTTATCTGAAGCCCGATGGTAATTTGGACGTCTCGACGTACGACTTCAATCAAGAACTCGGCAATGGGAAAGACTTTATTGATAACCATAGCCGGACTTTCCATGAGGAAGGAATATCAGTATCATCTTGGAGAGCACACAATGAAGAATACTATGGGTTGGAGGATCTTGCTTCGGCCGAAGGAGGACACCGATCCCGGGGTGCTATGACTTTGGAGAAGAACCTATACCTGGAACCTATTCTACCCGATCCATCAAAACCACCACTTA